AGTATAGTGCACTTATGAAAACATGTTGGAGCTATGTGGTTTGAAAACCATGTAACACATGATATTTGCATAAAAATACAGTATTAAAAATTTGGTTTTATAAACATGGCACTACAAACTTTAACTACTTTAAGACATTTTTGTTAAGAAAACATATAACCATAAAGATACTTTGTTAGAAAATTTCTTTAGAGACACACAGAAGCAAACCAAGCCTAAAATTGTTACCATTTCTATGCAAAGTAGATCATGTCTTAATATGACATGCACTTAGTTAATACTCTTCTCTAATGATAGAGATTAAGTTGAGTCTATGAGTGTTATCTGAAAGTATGCCAGAGGACACAAATGCATTGCCAGGCAGAGTCAAAAGAATTTAACAAAGCTTTATGTGAATTTTAAAGATTGTTTGTGATCAACTTCTGGTAATTATACACAGAATGATGGAGTGCTAATAAATATTCAGCAAAATAACTGAATAGAGCATTCACTACTTAAAATGTGTGTTTAGCAGAAAGATAAACCAAAGTATCTCTTACCATAAATAAACTCCAAGATTTTATTCTATATTTTAAAATGTTAAACATAAAATCCAATAACATAGATTTCTAGCAAACAAACAATGTTAAAGTATTTTGCCAAGAATTAAAAAATGATTACTTTGATACCTCAGTCTTGTCCCTCCTCCAATTTCTCATTTTGAAGTAAAATTTTGCTCTGAGTCACTAGAATTTTATAGAGGAACTGTATAAAATAGCACAGAAATTGAAATAACTATAGTTTATTTTAGAGTAAATTTCTACGTATTAGTAAGTAGATACTTCAAATCATAAAAAGTCAATGGAATATGTCAATCTTTAAGCAATATGTATACTTAAAGAACAGAAAATGTGGTAATAAAGACAAATATATTTAAATGCTATATATGTGTATATATATAGATTATATATTTGGTTTATTTTGCTGCTTTGTCCCATGTTAGATACCACATAACCCACTCCCCCAATAACAAATAAAGATCAGCTTTAATGATGAGAAACTAGTACAGAGCAAAGCAATTCATGCATACACTTTTGCATGTATGCATTCCATACGTAAGTATTCATACCTATCCCAGAGGTTCTTTGATTCCTGAAAGGTGTTCAAATGGAAAGCTTGGTAGAAAGCAGTTGAAGGATTCCTGTGAGATCCAAGAATCAAATGGAAATGAGGTTGAGAATGTACAGTATAATCACTACTTTTCAAGTAAAAGATGGAAGATTTTATATTTCTAATACAGTGAAGCTACTTTAATATAAACAAACACATAAGGCTGCTTAAACACTTTGCAAGAAATTAAAAACTGGTGAAAATTCAGTTGACAGTGACAAAAGCTCAGGAACATAGTTCTAAAAAAGCGGGAGGTAATACAGAAAAAATTTAAAACTAACTTCAACTGTGTGAGTATGAATAATGACTAGTTCATACCATAATTAACACTACTCTTTATCAGAATAAATCCCTATTATGTTTAGCAATTTAACAAAAATACAGTATTCATGTAATATAAGATGCAACTTCATTATGTAAAAAGTCTTCTTAAATCTGTCACAAGAAAGAAGTTTTCTAGTGAAAAATAAGGAGTATTTTTCTGGATTGGACTTGACACTGATTTCCATTTTCACAATTCATTTTTTTTTTTGCAGACAGTTTCTCTGAATTTGGAGGGAAAAAATACACTGCAATTGTTATGGCAGCTTTCTAACCATTTGGATTATTAGTCCAGTGCCCCGTTAAGACTTAAGAGCCAATTTACCATAATCATCATCATTATCCATTTCTTCCATGGAGTGCAGGGAATGCATCCACAGGGTTTATCACCACTCCCTAGGGCTTTTGCCATAGAATCTTAACTTGGACTCATCCATGTAAGCTCCTAGTGTGTATGATTGATGTCACATCTCTAGAGTGCTTTTACAGGGGACTAAATTTTTAACAACCCTGCTCCTGACTTCCTCACTTCAGCATATTCTCATAGCACCCTCTACCACAACCTGTCACTAGCTAGAAAACTAACAAAAACTTGTCACTATCACTTCTAAAATGATTGACCCACACAGTAGCAGAATAACAGCACCAGCTTAAGAAAGTAAGTGCTTATTATGTGCCAGCCACCACTTTAAATGCATATTTATTGACTCAGTTCTCACAACAATCTCTTTTAAGAAGGTGGTGCTAGTAGTATCTATCATCTAACAGATCAGAATCAGAGAGAGGTAACTTGCCTGGTGCATACATAGAGCTAGTATCATTTTGGTCCCAGAGTTCACGCTCTTAATCCACCACAATGTTAAATATATGTTGTTAAGCAGTGCCATCGAGTTAATTCCAACCCATAGCAACCCTGTATAAGGTTTCTGAGGAGGGGCTGGCGAGCTTGAACTGCTGACCTTCAGGTTCAAACATCACAGTCCAGAGCATTAACCATGGTGCCACACCAGGACTCCATTAAACATATAGCAGAGTTAAAAATTGAACCTAGGTCAGTCTACCTGTGAAATAGTGATATTACCATCTAACCTTGCAAGATGGTTGAGGAAGTGAGAATATATGCAAAGCTCCCAGCATACAGTCAATGCTCAATAATTGACAGCGATTACTTTTTAGGTTCAAATATAGCATTGCAATTCTAAGGCCCTGATGTCCTGGGGTATGGTGCTGTGGGTTAATGCGCCAGACAGCAACACCATTTGAACTGCAAGGTCGGCGGTTCAAACTCACCAGCTGCTCTTGGAAACCCTATACAGGGTTGCTATGGGTCGGAATTGACTTGACGGCACTCAACAAGAAGTTAATAAGTATTCTGTCAACTTCAGGTGTGGTGCTGTGGAACAGCACTGGACTGCGAACCACAAGATGGGCACTTCAAAGCCACTATAGCTGCTCCTCGGAAAGCCTATACAAGGTTGCTGTAACTCAGAATCGACTCGATGGCACTTAACAAGTGTCTTTTAGAGAGTCACTGTAATATTACGGGTACAACAAGAACATTTATTTCCTATTGGAAGAGCAATAAAAAAAGAAACCATCATTAAGCAAAACAAATTCTCAATACAATGCTTTCATACACAGATTGAGTCATTAATTTGTATAATCTACTGTATTTTAAAAAATTATTTCTAAGGAAGTATTTTTAATTTTAATCAGGAATGTGTCTCTTAGATGATATACAACTAGGAAGGCATTAGGTGCCAAAGTGACACTGAAGCAACTATTTGGTTAATTGTTGTTGTTAAGTGCCATCAAGTTGGTTTTGAGAAGCAGCTGGTAGGTCTGAATCACAGACCTTGTGGTTCACTGTCCAATGCTGATCCTACAGTGCCACACCAGAAGTCCTTTGACTCTCCTATATATGCACTTTTCTTTGCTTGTCCTACCTTCAACTCCTTCCTGTCCAATCAGCCCCATCAAAAGCAATGGCTGAATCTGCTAATGTTGTTAAGTACAGTCATAGGGGTCCTAGTCCTGGTGTGGCACTACAGGATAAAAGCACTGGACTGCAAGGTCAATTTGAACCACAAGGTCGACAGTTCAAACCTACCAATCACTCTTTGGAAAACCAACACAGTGTCACTATGAGTCAGAATCGACTCATCAGCATTTAACAACAAGTGTGGCGCTGTGGGATAAAGCACTGGACCACAAGGTTAGTTTTAACCACAAGGTTGGCAGATCATTCCTCAGTAACCCTATATAGGGTTGTTATGAGCCAGAACTGACTTGGCAGCACTTAACAGTTAACAATGGTAGGAAGGGGGCGTGGTGGCTCCTTTTGATAAGCATTGGACTGAGAACCACAAGAGCTGGGTTCGAGTTGGACAACTGCACCATGGGAGACAGATGATGCTTTCTGGTCCCTCAAAGATTTAAAACTGAGGTTACCCTAATACAGGGTTGTTATGAGTCAGAATCGACTCAACAGCACTTTAACAACAGTAAGAAAGACTTGTTTGTTTGTTTTAAGTTTTTATTGTGAATTGAGTGGTAGTTTAACATGGGAGAACATCGAATTTACACTCATCGTTTCATTTTATGATTACAATCTCCTCCGTGCATCATCATTCAACAGTATTTACTTCTATTCCCTCTGGTTTTTTTTGTTTCATTTTTTTTGGGGGGGGGGGTAACACAGAAACACTTACAAATGTATAATAATCTAAACAACCAAAGGGCACATTCTGCAAGCCTGCCTCTTGGCCAACAACACCTGGCCACAAGCACACAGCCTTTCTCTTTTCATGAGTCTCAAGTCCTCAGCTGCTCTATTTCTCCATGTCTTCATCTCTGCCTTCATCACTGGTGTTGCTGCTTCTCTGCATAGAGTTCCACATTCTGCTTGTACTCTTCTCCCTTGATGGTCCTAGGAGCCTCTGTTCCTGGAATGTAAGATTAACCACCCCCTCTTTTTGTTACAAAACTTTTACCTCCACAGTTGTGACAGTCGCAATTAGTCATGATAACAATTACTCACTTACTAGTGAATCATAAGAATCATATCCCCATCTCTTTTCACCAGACCCATCTAGACAAGATGAAAACTATTCAGTGGGGATTCCACCTTCTCCTTCACACTCTTTTTTTTTTTTTTAATCGTGTGATAGTTTACATGGGGGAACATTTGTTTTACATTCATTCTATCATACATAGTTTCATTGCCATAGTTATCATCCCGTCCATGCATCATCACCCAACCAAAGGGCATACATTGCAAGCCCACCCCCGCCCCCCACGGTCCTCAACACACAGCCCCTTTCCCTCTCTGGATCTCAAGTCCTCAGCCACTCCATCTCTTCATGTCATCCTCTCTGTCTCCATCTCAGGCCTCACTGCTTCTCTGGGTGAGGTCTCGATGTCCGCTCTTCTCCTGTGATGGTCCCAGGGCTCTCTGCTCCTAGACTGAAAGGTTAATCACTCTCCTCCTTGCTATAACATATCCACCTTTACATTTCCAGTCCTCAAAATCAGTCCTGATAACAATTATTCGCCCTTGCATCACAAGAGACCCATCTGCATTTCTTTTCATCAGCCCTTCCTAGACAGGTTGGATACTACTCACTGGAGACTCTACCATCCTCCTTACCCTGTTGATCTAGGTTCCCTCTTGAAAGCTTGTAAGCCAGTCACTTCTTACCTTTATATCCCTCCCCCCATTTTGGGTAACCAATGTTCAAGTTGCCCATCCCTATCTACTCTTTGTGCAGTGGGGGTGGGAGTAATTCTTGGAGTAGGGATTTGTTTCCTCTTTTGAGCTACTGCATTTATAGGTGGTCAAGTTTATCAAGTTGTATCAGATGACACTATTTTTTTCTTTTTCTTCCCTCCCCCGCCCCCCCGCACCCGTCTTTCTTCTTCGGGTTGAGCTCTGTTCATCCAGTCATTGAAGCCAGGTCAAGTGCGTATCATCTCCAAGTGTGGGTGTTCTTGCATCTGTCCACCCTCTTATCAGCTGATCGCTTTGCTCCCCAGTCTAGTTCTCTGTGGCTGTGTCTCTGACTCTGAGCCCATGAGTCCCAGGGTCCTGCCTCGCTGCTGGCCGACCAAGTCTCCACCCAGGCTCCCAGTAGTCTGCTGAACGATGCAGGACTTAGCTCTCCGCTTCACTGATGTTCATCGGTTGCTTCTCCTTATGGGTGATGTGCGTGGTCATCAATCAGTGTGTATTTCCACTGCATCTTGGTCTTAGAAGAGGATTTTCACTGAGAGGACTCAACCACTTGCCTTGCTGTCTCCTGGGCAAGCGACGTGCTTGTTCTTGTGGTAACAGTCAGACAGTCCTTCTTGTTTTGTATTTTTCCTGTAGGTCTTTCTTTCGAGACGTGTCTTCTGGTTTTCTGGTTGTTCCCGGCTGGTCTGCGTGTCCTTTCAAGAGGACA